TGTACGGGCGACAGTGCAGAGGTTTATTGCTTTCCAAGCTGCAGATTCTCTCCGAGATCTGAATCCTGTGAAGTTCTTACTTGCAGTGACCTGAGCGGATCCAGGATTGGCTTTTCCAACCGGCCCCTAACCCTGCACGCGCAGACACACACGCTCCCAGGCACTGCCAGGCCACCGGCTTGGAGGGGAACTTGTACTTGAGCAATGCGGGAGACTGCAGGCATGCAGACGGCATTAGGAAAAAAGACATAATGCTAATTCCCCTGTGCATTTCTTCACTCAAAATCCAAAAATTCAGCATTTTTCTTCCTTCCAAGCACAGGTGGAAAACATGCGTGTGCACACAGAGGCCCTTTCCTCCTCTCGGACACCAACAGCCAAAAGATAACCGCAAAGGAATTCAAGCACTTTGCTTTCCCTGTGGGATAAGAGAATTTAAAGCTTTCTCCAAGCATTAAAGCTGCTCTCCGAGTGTCTACGCTTAGAGCCCTGAGGCTAATCCTGCCCACAGCTCAGTCCCGGCTGACTTCACACAACCGGTGCAGCTCACCCCACTCTCCTCCACATACTGTTGCTGGCTGTGGTGGAGCAGCCCCCCTTCCCTCGCTGGGGCAGCCGGAGGGCTCGGGGACTTTAACCCTGTCCCTGGAGCCAGGCAGCCTCCTGCCTCCTCTGGAATTATAACGAAGATGACGTTAATGACTTAAGAAGTCATTTCCTCTCCTCCAGCTCCATGCTGACCATCAGCTACCAGCCACGCTCTCCCTGCTGCACACTGTGGCCTCACCGGTACCCTGCCCACATTATGCACGGCACATCCCCAGCCAAACCAGGCCTGCCATGACATCCTTCATGCCCACCGCCGGCTGGGCAGGACCCTGAGGGATCCTGCCCCAGCACGGAGGTGAACCCCACGGAGGGAACCGAGCTCCCCTGGCCCCAGGCAGGGTCACCAGCATTCGAGCAGCACCCCTTGCCAGGGCCAGCCCTCCCCACTGCAAGCGAGGAGGAGGTTGGGGCTGTGCAGCCACCAGGCACGAGCCAAGGCAAAGCCAAGAAGCCTTCGGAGCTGGCAGCACCCGGCAGCAATGGCCCACGGCGCTTATAAATAGGCGAGGGAGAGGCAGGGGGAGAAGGAGATAATTCCTGGTGCGACAGCGATAAAGGAGGATCATTGGCAGCTGCTCGCTGAACGACACAGCCAAGTCGCAGGGGCAAAGCAGATGCTAAAATTAGTGGCAGGCTCAGCCAGAAAAGGAGAAAGGGGCACCTGCGCCTGCACCACACCTCTGGGGGCAAGCAAGGAGCCGGCACAGAAGGTCCCCATCGTCCTCCTTGTGCCCACCGTTACACCCACCTGCACTCCTAGCATCCCATTTTCCTAAAAGCTTGAGCCTTTCAGCTACATTTTGGGGAAAAACCCCTCCAGTGGAAGCAGCCAAAGCTCCCAGCTGTGCTGCAGGCAGAGGCACACAGGGAAAGCAGGGCGGCCCCTCCATGGGCGAGTTCAGCTCCTGAGGCTTCTTCTTCCCCAGGGCTGCAGACAAGCAAATGCAAAATCCTACAAAGGCTCGACAGAAACTTCTGCTTCCTCTCGTACACAAGTAAAACCACCCGGATCCCGCGCATGAGTCACAGCCAGGCTGCGCCAAGGGCTGTGAAAGTTTTGCTTCCAAGTTCTCCGGCTGGTTTCATCAGTCAACCGCAACATCAGGGAAAACCACCACAAAGCCAGAAAAACCCTTCTGCCTGAGCAACGCGACCAGCTCAGGATCCAGGCACAACTGGATGGTGGTCCTGCAAGGACAGGAGCCAGGCCGGCCAGGATGGATCCAGGGACACACAGGTGCTGGCAGAAGCAGCGAGGCTGCAACATGCCTGCAGGGACAGTGCAGTGGCAGCCAGCCCAGCGGTGCCCAGACGTGGGTGCGCAGCCTGCAGCCCTGCTGCTGATGAGTCCTTCCTCTGCCCATCGCGCCTCGTGGCTGCAGCACAGAGCACTGAAGATCTCCAGAGGCAGCAAGGAAAGCACGATGTCTGGCAGAGGCATCCCAGGAGGCGAAAACAGCCCTGTGCAAGCTGCTGAAACACTGGGAGGGTGGGAAGGCAAGCAGTGGCCCCTGCTGCCCCTGGCTGCAGCCACTGCCCCAGGCTGCAGCCACCTCGGGAAAGTCCAGGGTGCAGCCTCAGCCCCGGGGCTGCCGCCGTGGAGCCACATGCCCGCCTGTGCCCAGAATCCGAGACAAAACCCCACAGAGAAAACACTGGCCAAGCAGCAGCAAAGCAGATCTCCATCCCACCTGTGAGGCAACGCCTTCCGTCTGAAGCCCTGCCATGCCCACCTGCCCTCCCCTCTGCTCCAACAAAGGACCATCCTGCCCCACGGTCCCCCTGTCCATGACTCATTCCTTTCCCCTCTCCAGGCTGACCATCCCGCAGGGGGTTGCTATCGCAGTCCTCCTGTTCCTCATCGTCACCTCCCACGGCTCCCCATTCCCACCCCCATGCTGGCAGGGATGGAATGATCCCTTCGGGGAACTCCACTTGACAGAAAACAAGCACACGCACCACATGGCGGAGGTCCAGTTGCGTAGCTACAGCAACAAATAATCAAAATAAAATGCCCTTTTAGAAGTGATGTATCGGCTCGTTACTGCGATACAGGGCTACCCACTCAACCATTTAGGGGAGCAGCCCAGCAGCACTGCCCTTCCCAAGCACTTTCCCTTCTTCGAAGATGGTTTATGACCTGAACCAGGTGCAAAGGGGGAGAAAACTGCAGAGGACAGGGACAAGTGACATGGATGAGACGTGACCTTGCAGAGGGCAGAGTTACCAGCCGGGGCCCGTCCCGGCAAGGAGGGAGTTTGAGCTGAACTCCGAGGTCTGACCCTGTCTTTCCCAGCAGCAGGTCGGAGAGCAGTGATCACAGATGGAAGGAGGTGGCCAGCTCCCACCGACCCGCATTGCTCATCCCCACAGCACCCAGCATCGCTCGTCCGTCGGTACGGCAAAGCTGAACGGCACAAAGGGCGCAGGCAGGGGATCTGCCTCTGGCTACTCCCTGCCTGCTGCAACTTGAGCAGTTCCTGCACAACAACTCCTGAGCCATAGCTTTGTCTTTTTTGTGAACAGTCCCCTAGGAAACGTTCAGGAGCCAGTTTTGGCCATACCTCTGAAAAGTGGCCACTCTGCCCCCACGGCAGGGGACGGAGCATCCCACCGAGCCCTGCCCTGCCAGCACCCAGGGTCCTGCCCCAGCACGCACCACGGAAGCAGCCGCTTGCAGAGTCAGAGCAGGGGCATGCAGCACGCCACCAAATACCGCAGCACCCGTCTCTCACACAGCGGAGACACGCTCAGCATCCTCACCATCCACCGCATTCTCGCCGTCCACTGCAGGAACAGCGCAGAGCGGGGATGGCTCCCAATAAGGCAGAGGGCAGCTGCCTGTGCCTGAAAGCAGCCCCAGTTGACTGCTTTGCCCATCCCTCCTCCCTCGTGCCCAGCCCGCTTCTTGCCTGGTACCCCACATCTCTCCTCCTCCCTCCACTAGCCAGGGAACCGGGTAATTGCTGGCTGAGGTCCTATCCCAGCCTCACACCTCCAGGCACCAGGGCTCCCTCCAAACCCGGCTGAAGCCAATGTCACTCCAGCCCACAGCAGCTCTGCCACAAGGGAGCACCTCACACTCCTGCTGTCTGTCCTCCCGGATCACCCCAGCATCCCTCCTCCTCCTCAGCTACTGAGAGTTACATCTTCTCTCCGGGAAGTGGCTGCTATTACTGCAATGAGACTGAAGTGGTTGTTTTTTACATAAAAAGCCCCTTCCAAAGGAATTTGGAACTATTGAAAAAGGCCGTTTATAGAATGAAGACGTTGTGATTTCACAACCTTCCTCCACATGTACAGCACCCTGGGTGCAACGGGACAATCCCATCCCAGCCAGGTCCGCAGAGGGGCAGCTCCCCATGCAGGTCTCCCCCGGGGGCACGCTGCTGTGAGATGGGGCAGCCCTGTTCCCCGGTGCACAGGCATCAGATCCAACACATCCCCAGTTCGGGTGACTCAGCACGCGGAGTTTTGGCCACTTCGGGGAAGTCACTTGCACCACAGCCCAGCCGCGAGCCGCTCTCTCCCGGTCACTGGCTCCCAGCTCTTTCCCCAGCTTTATTCCTCAGCTGGACATCTCACCTATGCGCAACACCCTTATCACCCTCCCTCTTTGTGTTCAGCATTTAAAACATTTCCAGGCTTTCCCAAAGGGACCACAGAGGTAAAGTGCCTGGGCAGACATACAGCAGGGAGCTTCTCCCTTAAATAAAAATTTATAAGGTGCTGAGGAGGATTGCAACTCCTCCACTTGCATGCTTTTCCTAGCTGGGATGGACGGCTGGGAAATGTGACCACAGGACACAGAGGGGAACTATAATACATCAAAATGAGA